CTTGGCCTGAAAGTATTTGTATTCCAGAAAATTTATAGCAACATCACAGCTCTGCAGAGAGGAGAGGACCTGAACGGAAAAGAAGCATTTCACACTACCCTTTCAAGGAGGCACTCTCATGCACAACCCTTTAAAGGAAGTATCTCCAAATGCTCATTTACCTTCGATGTTCTCAGCACAAGGCCAAACCAAGACAGGAAAGAGAACTAAGACCTCCAAAGCCATAGAGACCTTCATTTAGGCAGACCTCCAGCTCAGAACCACTATGGAAACAAAGGGGAAGTCGTGACTGGTTTAAGTGATTTTGTCTGGCAGCCCAAGTTCAGCTGTCTTCACTTTTCTACTTATTTAGGCAGCCTGCAGGGGTGAGGGGCCCTCATCAATATGCTAACTACTTAAAAGTCAGGTTCTTCTGATTACTTAAACCCCAAAGCTCAAAGAGGCATACCTGGTAGGTTGATCATGGGCCAACGGATGGTCCCACAGCTGTGCAGCACAAATTACACAAATTACAACAAAGAGAGCCCAAGAAGGGGGAGGGGGGCATCAAGAGAGGGGCAGAGCTGAGAAAAATTATGGGGAAGAGTCAGTAGTAAATATTATTAAATCACACTGTATAATATATGAAATTCTCAAAGAATTAATTAAAATATTATATTTTAAAATGTGTCAATTGATAACTGTTTGCATATGGGCTGTTAAAGTCACCTGGACGCCCACAATTACAATATTGACAGTAACTACCATGTTGTTAGAAATAGTGTTTATTGCATAATTTTCAGGTGTCATAAGCTTTGAGCTGATGTACGAATACTCTAAATCATATATATGTTAAATTAAAAGACAATTATTTCTTAATTGACATGAGTTTGGATGGCTGAGTCACCAAAAAAAAAGATAAAAAGTATTGATTAGGAATATAAATGCCTAGACTCAGCTGGAACTCCAGAACTGATGGGGGGATGCTGTCCATGCCCCACCCCTTACTGAGAAGCTATTGGCAGGTGATAGATGCTGAGAGGAAGCAGCTTTCTTTTTGAGGGTGGGGCCACTGGTTCCCCCACTCTAGTGGATGGTCTTACATCCATGCACATATGGGCAGCCCTAACTGGACCTACTGAGTTATCAGAAATAGGGGTGGGGGCTGGAGAGATGGCTTTGTGATTAAGAGCACTGATTGCTCTTCAAGAAGTCCTGGGTTCAGTTCCCAGCAGCCAGATGACAGCTCACAGCCATATGTATTTCCAGTTCCAGGGGATATGAAACCCTCTTCTGGTCTTCTCAGTCACCAGACACACATGTGGTGCTCAGACATACATTCAGGCAAAACACCCCATACATGTGGAATAATTTTTAAATTTGTTTTAATTTAAAAAGACATGAAGTAGGGAGGGGACATGTTGGGAGGGACATGAAAGAAGTTGGAGGGAAAAGGGAGGTAATCATATTTTATTGTATTCATTCATGAAATTCTCAAAAATAAAGAAAATTTAAGGCATGTGTCTGTACAAAGAAAACAGAAATACTACCTAAATTGTGGTGAATACTAAAAGACATAGCAAGTGTAAACACTCTATTCCAAATTATCAGTACATATACATATTTGTGTCTATTTGTGTGTGTGTATGTATGTATGTATATAAACCATATGACCATTTTCTTCAAACTTAAGCTCAGCTGGTTGTAGAGTTTTAGGGATATTCCAAAGATTGCACAAAGGCAAGAAATAAACAAAATCCATCTTCACAATCCAGTTTTAATACAGAGTTTTGCTGTTAGTGATGAAATCAAAATGTAACTACAAAGAAAGTTGAACAGAGATGAAGCAGAGGTAAAAATCTTAAGCCTTAGTCAAGCACTTTTCAGGTGTTTTGAAACAGGGTCTTGTGTATCCCAAGCTGGCCTTGAGTTCCTGACTCTCCTGTCTCCACTTCCCTGCGGCTGGGTTTGCAGGTGTACACCACCATGCCTGGCTTTATTTAAGCAAGCAAAGTCAATATGTGGCCCATGGAAGTCTGAGGGCTCACAGAATCAAACTGAATACTATGATATCTTTTATGTTGATGCATGTACAGATGTTTGCACACACTGCCTGCTGAGTGCCTCTAAACAGCATCCCACACCGTTTGAGGCCATCCTTATAGTCTTTATTTCTGTGTCCTTGCTATAAAGAGAGAAAGCTGGTTTCATTTAAGACCTGAAGCAGTAAAAAATACTTAGATATCAGTCCTTAAGTGCAACTTTCTCAAGACTGTGAGTGGCCAAAGGAAACACACAGAAGGCATTGTGGCTGCACATGGATAAAGATCTTCTCACGGCAAGCTGTGTACCCTAGCTTGTATCACATACTTGACCAACCCTTCTATTCAATAACCTAATGAATTTGTACGGGAAAATGCACATTTAAATGTATATTCTAAGACAAGGGCTAGGAGGTAGAGCCTAAGCTTGAAATACAACTTAAGTCTATCAGCATAGAGATTCCAATTAGAGTAACTAATATGGATGAGCTCACCAAGAGGGAACTATAGGGACATAAGATTAGCCACCTAGGGACTCACCCTTAAATGCAGAATATGAAGAGGAGTTTCAGTCAGGATGGATCTCCTGAAGACAGCAGCAGTCACTAAGGAAGGGTGGTGTGTCATGGAAGTGTCCCCACTTACATTGTTCCAATAGGAAATTGGAATTCTTACATTTTTCCATTGTGTCTGGTGTTGCTGCCAAGACTGAGACTCGGCTTCTAGATTTGCCAATATGGAACTGTCTTGGTAAAGGCTTGACTGAAGTGAGTTTAGTATGTGGGATCCCACATAAGAAAGACGTGAAGTGTGGATGGTAAAGAGTGCAGAATGTTCTTCCCACAAGGTAGCCTTCCAGAAAGAATTGCATAAACTATAATAAGTTGATGGGTGATATTGCTCTGTATGCTGTGAATGTGTTGCTCTGATTGGTTGATAAATAAAATGCTGATTGGCCAGTAGCCAGGCAGGAAGTATAGTATAGGCAGGATAAACAGACAAGGAGAATTCTGGGAAGAGAAAGGCTAAGTCAGGAGATGCCAGCCCGCCATCCAGGGAGCAGTGGCTGGGCAGGACCAAAGAAAATTTCATCTACAATAAGTGAATGCACATAAAAGCAAGAACATGAAGGGAATGTCTGGACATGTGCACATTATCTCTGTGGGAAAGGCAAAGACCTAGGAGAAATATTTTGGCTCTTTTCACATGACCAAAAGATAAGACAAAACATCCAGTGTAGTCCCTTGTTGTACTTTTATTTTTGCTTACACTAACTATAAACATCACCTCATGTTTTTGCTTGATTTAATAATAAAAATGAGAAGGGCTTTGTTTGCATTACTCTTGAGTGCAAATTCTTGGAGGCCCCTGTTCATCCCACACAGATCTTTCGGGCTATCCTTCGATGTGTGGAGACTTAGCTTTGCTAGCCAGGGTGGGTTGACATAATAGATCAAAAAAAGTCTATAGAGGGTTACTTCACATCAACATAAATAACTGTCTACACTTTAAAAGAAACTATTTATGGATCAATAGGAAAAATAAATACACCAATAATACACCCAGATGTACAGCATACTAAATGGGATTTCTATTAAAAGTAAGCACCAATAAAGTAAGCCCAGGTATATTTGAAACAAAGACTCTATTCGGTTTCAAATGATACAATCAAGTTTACCAAAATTTCAAAAACTCAACAAGTATATTTTTTTTAAAAACTGAGCACTTACCAGGTATGCTAGGACATGCCTTCATTTTCAACATTCAAGAGGCAGAGGTAGGAGGATCTCTGAGTTCAGAGACAGCCTGGTCTACATAGTGAATTCCAAGACAGAATTACATGGTGAGACACAATCTCAAAGAAAAGAAAATGAGCATTCATATTTACTGATTTGGATTTACTGAGTGTGGTGGTTTAAATAAAAATGACCTCCTCTAGCCTCATGTTTGAATGCTTGGCCTAGTTGGCGAACTGTTTGGGAAGGATTAGGAGGTGTAGCTTTGTTAGAGGAAGTGTGTCACTGGGAAGTGGGCTTTGAGGCTTCAGAAGTCGAAACCATTCCAATTGTCCCTCTCTCTGCTTCGTTCTTGTGGATCTTATGTAAGCTCTCAGCTACTGCTCAGTGCCATGCCTACCTGCCTGCTGCCATGCTCCCCACCATGATGGTTATGGACCTAACCACACTCTACAACCATGACTCCCCCCCCCAAAAAAAATTGCATGCTTTCTTTCATAAGTTGCTCTGGCCATGGTGTCTCTACACAGAAATAGAAAAATAACTCAAAGAACTCTGTTTTCAATTGTTCCAAACTTGCATGGAACCCATAGAGGGCATCCCATTAGCAGTTGCTTGGACCCGTTTGTTGTGTTGTAGGATTCTGGAGCAAGCTCAGGGCTGAGCTTTGAAGCTAACAGTCAGTGTGTTTTCTTTCACTTCATTAGTTGTCCTCATTTTCATGTGATTTGGGCCAATGACAATGAGTTTGGCCCAGCACCCTTAACAATGTGTGCTCAGAAGCATAGACTTCCATATTGCTATGAAATTATCTTTACAGATATACTGGATAATTTAAATTCACAGATGAATTAGAACACCCCTTTTAAGCCCAAATTCAAGCTGAGAGACACATGCTCTTTGAGTGTTTCATATTTTAATGTGGGAGAAGGAATCATCATGCGGCCTGACTTACAAGGAAGCTCTCATATGATAACAGCTTTATTAGAACTTTGGCCTCCAAATAGAAAGTTCTGGTGACAAATGCCCTTAGAAATAACTCAGTAAAACATTTAAACATGACATTACAGAGCTACAGTCTCCTAAATTCCAGAAGGCATTTAAACAGGTTAACAGATGTCACTACTGGTCTTGAACAAAACAACAGTGTGGCCAAAACTGGGTCCCAGGCTAGTATTACACCACTTTCTTCTGTATCTCAGGGAACAAAGAGTCTTAACACAGGAATTATTAATCCAGTGGTTCACAGGCAGTTGGTCCTGTGGGTTAAGGGGAAAGCAGTTAAAAATCACTTTCATAGAAAGCTCACCCAGCTTTCAGATGCTCAACCTGAAGCAATAGGAAGAATCAAATCTCTATTGTTGAAATATCATTGATGACATTACCCAAGTGTATCAAAAATACTTATCTGGGGGTATTATATGGGGAAAACACTGAGAAGTAACAAACTCTTGAAATTTTTAAACTTTGCTGGCCTACTTCTCTATATCTATTATCCCCAAATCATATATGTATATTCTTAGTTGCTTTTCTATAGGTGTTAAGAAACCAGAGATTTAGTGTTGGCTGTCTAGGAAAGCTATTTCTCCTTATCACAGACTCTCTTGAAAACAATTTAGTGCTCAAAATAAAAATGTAAGGAGCCTGACAGGATGTAATCTATTCATGTTTATGGACATTTAACCAAGGTACTGTCTATGACAGAAACAAATGCCCAAGCCTGGAAGATCTATTATAAAACGCAAGCATGCTGAACACATGGAATTCAAACTTATACAGTTCCTTTAGTGAAGTTTTAATTAACAAATTACCATTAGCCATGAAAATAATAGACTTCTCTTACCTTATGAGAACTGCTAAAATAGGTTCACATGTTTTACTTTGCAAAGAAATTGACCACTGTTGTCCAATTACTTGAGTGCCACTCCCGAAGGTACTCACACTATACCCATTTAATCCAAAAGACTCCATAGAAAATAATTTAGGCCTAAAAGCAAAACAAACAGAAAAAAAAAGCAGAGAACTGATAGTTGTACAGATAATCTAACAGAAAATATAGATGTTTTATGATTTGTGTACTACTTTAAAAATGGTTGGAGAGAGCCAGGCATAGTGGCGCACACCTTTAATCCCAGCACTCAGGAGGTAGAGATAGGCAGATTTCTGTGAGTTCAAGGCCAGCCTGGTCTACAAAGTCAAGTTCCAGGGCAGCCAGGGCTGTTAGAGAAACCTTGTCTCGAAAACAACAACAACAACAACAAAAATGATTGGAGAGAAAGGGAAGTTAGCTTAATGAATATGAATATAAAGTTTTTAATAGAATCATAAAGTTAATATTTACCCAGATGATTTATCTAGAATTGGCCCTAGAATCTCAGAATAAGGGTTTCAAACATCATCTAATATGACAAATATTCTATCTGGAACTGACAGACTATGATTCCACACCAGTTACATCTAGCCTACACACACACACACACACACACACACACACACACACACACACACACACGCACGCACACATGCACGCATGCACACGCACGCACACCACAGCAGCAGCAACTACCTAGTTTGGGGGGTGGAGTAAGGGGATTGACATTGAAAATAGAATAGATTCTTGGGCACATACCAAAAGGATGCTCAATCATACCACAAGGGCATTTGTTCAAAGTTCATAGAGTAATAACCAGAACCTGGAAACAACCTAGATGTCCCTCAAGTGAAGAATGGATAAAGAAAATGTGGCACATTTACACAATGGAGTATTACTCAGCTGTTAAAAACAGGGACAACAGGAGATTTAAAGGCAAATGGATGGAACTAGGAAAAACCATCCTGAGTGAGGTAACCCAGACCCAGAAAGAGAAACATGGTATATACTCACTTATAAGTGGATATTAGCTGTAATGTAAAGGATAATCATGCTACAATCCACAGCCTCAGAGAAACTAAGTAACATGGAGAGCTCAAGGGGGACATGCTTGGATCTCCCTGGGAAGGGAAAAATAGAAGAGATTTCATGGGTGGACTGGGGACAAGTGGGGATGGGAACATGAGGGATCAGGTGGAGTGGGGGGTAGGGAGAGAATACTGAAAGATGACTGGAAAGGGGGGCACATTTTGGGGTCAGGTAGAAACCTAGTGCTAAGAAAACTCCCAGGAATCTATAAGGATGACCCCAGATAAAAGTCCTAGCAATAGGACCAGTCTGAACTGGTCATCAACTGTGACCAGGCAAGACTTCCAGTGGAGGGATTGGAACACCAACCCAGCCACATAGCCTTTGACCTACACTCTGTTCTGCCTATGGGATGTTTAATGGTGGCACAGAGATTGTGGGAGTGTCCAATCAATGACTGAGACCAGTCTGAGACCCATGCCACAAGAGGGAGCCCACCCTTGACACTGCCTGGTGTGCCAGAGTCTACAGCCTGGATGGCCCAGAGACCTAAGATAGAAGCAAACACAGCTGGAGAAAAAAAAAAGTCAATGTAATGATGCTTAACAATATTCTGCTATATATATAGATTGATGTCTAGTCCAATTGTCATTAGAGAGACGTCATATAACAACTGATAGAAATAGCCACAGAGACCCACAGCCAAATATCAGGCTGAGCTCAGGGAATCCTGCTGAAGAAAGGAAGGAAGGATTGTGGGAGCCAGAAGAGTCAAGGACATCACAAGAAAACCCACAGAATCAACTCACCTTGGCTCACAAGAGCTTACAAAGACTGACTGACAACCAGGGATCCTGTGTGGGACTGTCCTAGGCCCTCTGCATATATGTGACAGTTGTGTAGCTTAGTCTTCTTATAAGACTCCTAAGCGTGGGAGCAGGGGCTGTCTCTAAATCTTTTGCTGGCATTTGGGCCCCTTGTCCTTATACTGAGTCGCCTTGCCCAGACTTAAGAGAAGGTGCTTATTCTTACTGCAACTTGGTGTGCTTTGTTTTGTCGATATCCATGGGAGTCCTCCCCTCTTCTGAACAGAAATGGAAGAGGAATGGTTGGGGGGACTGGGAATAGAGGAGGGAGGGGAAACTGCGGTAAAGATGTAAAACAAATCTAGAAGGAAAGAAAATAAACTTCCATCCACCATGTAGAAAATAAGTCTACCATCAAACTCAGCCTGCTAGAGAGGAGAGCTGTCCTATCAAAGCATTAAGAAGAAATGATACCCGGCCAACCTGATCCACCAAACTCCATTTTAGGAGTTACAATGTACCTTCCATGTTGTTACTTCTTTCTCTGCACATAAATGAAAGGAAGGCAGCCTTTTCATATACCTCATTGCCTGTAACTGCTCTGCAAATGAAGTTTGGAAACAAGAGCTAGCTCTGGATTAATCACATGAGAGATAAGCATGTGGTTCTTATAAAAAAATACGGCAGCTATTACTGCAGCCACTGGGGTTGAGGGGAGGTTGGGAAAACAACTCTCAGGTTAAAGGAACTAGGCACATTTCTGACACTGTTCCAGGGAGTATGTGGAAGTCATACTACTTTGAAAATTTTTTTGTATGACCAGAGATGTATACCTATTCCTCAGAAAGCCAAAGGTTTCCCTAGCCTCAGCTCTAGGGCTACAGTTTCATGATTCATTTAGAGAAGACCACAAAGAACAGCTTGGTCAAAGGTTTGCAGAAGCACTGATAGAACCTGACACCTGTGAAACAATCAGATCCTGGCTTTAATATGTCATAAGGTTTTCCATTTATAGGGCTGTACAATGCCTAGAGCTTCAGTGCCTTCACTGAGAGGAAAGCTTAATGTACATTCTTTACAGAATTAATATCAAATGTGATGATTGAAGAAGGCTGTCACCACATTAGCTGGAGCATCAGAAATGTTCAATCATGCTTCCTATAACGCATGTCTTGCTCATCACTCATCCTTTAAATCATCTGATATTTGTCTTCATCTCTATTATTAGAACACAACTTAAAGTCGGCTATCATAAAAAAAAAATACAGGACTGGGAGCTAGAGAAATGACTCGGCGGTTAAAGTCATATACTGCTCTTGCAAAGGGGCCAAGTTTGATTCCCAGCATCTACACTAGGTGGCCCACAACAACCTATAATTCCAGCTCTAAGGAATCCAACACTCTGGCCCCAAAGCAACTGTATTCATCATATGAATGTATACACTGAGACACATATGCATAATTAAAATAAAAATATTTTTGAAAATACAGGACTTTGAAGAAATGTCATTTAAAAGTTCAGAGGCATACTAAGTTGAGGCAGGACCAAGCTCCTCTCCTGTGTCAAGGCTGAGCAAGGTATTCCACCCTAGGGAATGTGTTCCAAAAAACTATTTCATGCACCCAAGATAAGTCCTGGTCCCACTGCTAGGGGCTCCCCAAACAGATCTAGACACATAACTGTCACCCATCTACATTTAGAGGGCCTAGTTCGGTCCCATGCATGTTCCCCAGCTGACAGGCCAGAATCCATAGCTCACAGCTTGGGTCAGCTGTCTGTGTGTTTTCCCTGAGGCCTTACCCTCTCTGAAGAGTGGATGGAGGGTGGGATGAGGGGAGGTGGGGTTTGTGAGAGAAGGGGAGGGGGGGGAACTGGGATTAGTATGTAAAGTTTAAAAAAAAAAGAAAAATTTTTTAAAATAAAAAAAGTTCAAAGACACATCAAGAGAACCCTAAATATTTGTGATGAATCATGGGCTACCACCCATCTGAATCATGTGTATTTATTCGCATGAGCAGCACTAACTATAACATTCTATGACAAAGGACATATTCTAAATCAGCACTGTAAACAAGCAGACATGTTGTCACTGAGCACCTGGGGGTGAGGGGGTCTTGTTTGACTAAAGAACTAAACTCCAGTTTTGTGTAAAGATAAATGCCGCATGTGGCACTCTAGTTACAGTGCTGGACAGGATGATGTGCAGGTTACTTAAAGTTTGAAGGACACAGAACTTTCCCTGTCTGATCTTTTCCACCCATCAGGAAACATGAGGATATAGTGACAACCTGTGGGAAAACACCCCTAACGACTGAAAATAACATTGCTAAGTCGCAAGGTAACTTAAGAGTAGTCCAGACAGTGTGACACTGACACAAAGATCAAGTACATCAACGGAACGGAAATGAGAAAGTAGAACATAGAACTTATTTGATAAATACATATAATTGTATATCAAAGACTATTGGGGTCCAACTCCTCTATAGTCTTTTCCCAGAGTTCCAGAAGAAATGCTACCAGTGGTGGATTAATTAATCTGAGGGATTCCAAAATGAATCTACACATACACGAAACTCTTTAGTTCATACATTTTATTCCTGAGTCAGTTCTCTCTCTACACAGTTTCTATTCTGCTCTTACTTAACTCCTTTCTTGAGCCTGATTTCTCTCTGCATTTTTCTGCTGTTCTAAGTTCTATCTCAATTCCCCGTCATCCAGCTCTTCCCCATCATCCAGCTCTTCCCCATCATCCAGCTCTTCCCCGTCATCCAGCTCTTCCCCGTCATCCAGCCCTTCCCCGTCATCCAGCCCTTCCCCGTCATCCAGCCCTTCCCCGTCATCCAGCCCTTCCTTCCCCGTCCTCCAGCCCTTCCTTCCCTGTCCTCCAGCCCTTCCTTCCCCGTCCTCCAGCCCTTCCTTCCCTGTCCTCCAGCCCTTCCTTCCCCATCCTCCAGCTCTTCCTTCCCCGTCATCCAGCTCTTTCTTCTCCGTCATCCAGCTCTTTCTTCCCCGTCATCCAGCTCTTCCCCATCATCCAGCTCATTCTTCTAGTCCTTTCAAGTCTCTGTCTTCTACTTCTCCTTATCTCTTAGGTATTTCAGTTATATGCCCACACAAAGCAGCAATTCTCTGGCCAAGGCAAGGTCACACAGGCTTGAATTCTTTCAGGGTCAAAAAAGGAGATAAGATGTGGTGGTATTGTGTTCCCCGAAATAATTGTGCATGCTAATAAACTTATCTGGGGTCAGAGAACGGAACAGCCACAATATTAAACGTAGAGGTAGCACATGCCTTTAATCCTAGCATTCCAGAGGCAGAAATCCCTCTGGATCTCTGTGAGTTCAAGGCCACATTAGAAACAGCCAGGCATGGTGACACATGCCTTTAATCCCAAGAAGTGAGCCTTTAATCCCAGGGAGTGATGGCAGAAAGCAGAAAGATATATAAGGCATGAAGACCAGAAACTAGAAGCATTTGGCTGGTTAAGCTTTTAGGCTTCTAGCAGCAGTTCAGCTGAGACCCATTCAGATGAGGACACAGAGGCTTCTAATCTGAGGAAACAGAATCAGCTGAGGAACTGGCCAGGCAAGGTGAAGTAGCTGTGGTTTGTTCTGCTTCTCTGATCTTCCAGCATTCACCCCAATACCTGGCTTCAGGTTTGTTTTTATTGATAAGAACTTTTAAGATTCGTGATACAATAAGATCCACACAATGAGTAGTAATTATCAGCTATCATTTACAACCCAAAAAGGAAGTGACTAATGGGGAATAGAATCAACTAAGGGCTAAATTCAGTTGGAAGGGAAAATTATGTACTCAAACTATATTCTTAGAAGTGGTTAGTTAAAATGTTAAAAGTCTATCAGTCATGAGTGAAAATAAAACTGCCTTTTTTCCCCCTTTAGCCCAAAATCTATCTTAGCTGTGCTGTTTTCTGGCAGGGCAGGGGAAGTGCACTCAGTAGCTAGGCAACCTGAGTCACAGCTTGACATAACTGGTAAGTAAAAGCCCTTTAGTTCTGAGTTAATTGTTAGAGATCTCGAGCTAGAGACGACATTTGGAAGAGAGGAGGGTTAAGCTTAATTAGCACATCTGCCTGGCTTTCTCTAACAGATAGTCTGGATGCTATCTATCTGTGGTCTGTTCTTAGAAAGTCTGGGAAATATCTCAGATAAGATATTTTCATCTGGAGAAGGTCCTGGTCAGATGTTGCTAATGATGATAGTTACAGAAAGGCCTGAAATTAGGTGTCTTGACTGTGTGGTTGCTTTTAGCACTGTTGGGAGATGTTATCCAAATAATTTAATTGTTTAGAAGAAATTGTTCCCAATGAACGATCAAACACACTGTTCTAAGAATGGAAAAACAATAGCACATGAGAAATTCATAGCAGAAAACAGCTAATATTCAAAAGCCAATATCACCAAGTCTCTGTAAAACTTAGCTTTATCCTCTGGAAGAGTTCTTAACTCTTTTTGCCATAGTTAGCTGAATTCCTACTTCATATTTCTGCATTCCACAGCAATTGTATAGTTACATATTTGACTGTATGTAAAATTCCTGCAATTGTGTTCTAATTCATTATTTGTATATAATACTTAGAGGGGAATGTACTCATTTCAATTTAAAATGGTAGGGAACTATATGCATATTAAAGTTTAATATTTTTAAACTATATATGTGATAAAGTGTGGCCAGTGAGATGACTCAGTGAGTCAAGGTGCTTGCCACCAAACCTGACGACCTCAGTTTAACCCCAGGGACCAACATGGTAGGTAAGTGACCCTTAAGTTGTCCTCTGTCCTCCACACACATGTTGTGGAATGAGTACGCCCAGACACATCTACATCTACACACACATGTTGTGGTATGAGTACGCCCAGACACATCTACATCTACACACACATGTTGTGGTATGAGTACGCCCAGACACATCTACATTTACACACACATGCACACACATAACATGTAATTTTTAAATTTTTTTTGAATGATAGACTCTAGTTATACAGAAGTTCCCTACAAATTCCTTTTAATTCTTCTGTACACTTGCAATTTTTCCTAACAGAGGATGTTTTAGCAAACACAGATGTGCCAGAGGCATCCTCTAAGGCATTTCAGTAGCTAACCTGTCTTTAAACATCTACCCATCAACAGATAAATTTAGAAATGTATAAGAAGAGCAGTTGTCTACCCATACCTACCTCTTCACAGAGCAAACCACCTGGAAATGATAGGTGAGATCCAACTCCAGCTTGTACGTGATCTCAGACAAGATGAAAACCTTTCCCTGGAACACCTGAAATGAGAAGGCATGGGATCATGTGCTTTAATAATATGAATATAATCTGACAGTTGTAGAAAAACAGGAAATTTTTATTTTACATTAATTTTGCAGGAATAAAATAGATGTGAAAAACATTTTATTCTCCATTTTTTGTGTGTGTTTGACCTTAAACCCTTTTGCTTCTATCTCCACAAACCAAACAGAAAAACAAAGACAACACTGGGAACTCTTTTCATTTTTTATTATCTACATATTATTATGTACATTATACATAATTCACATGAAATATATATATATATATAGGTATTTTGCCTGTGTGGCTGTGCCATGCCTGTGGAGGTCAGAAGAGGGTGCCAGACCTCCTGGGACTAAAGTTACAGACAGTTGTGAACCACTATGTGAGTGCTTGGAATCAAACCCTTGTCCCCTGGAAGACTATTAAGCACTGAACCATCTCTCCAGCCCCCAACTTTGAACACTTTAAGGTATGTTCTCTCTTTCCAAAATAGGTCCCTATTTACATATTTCTATTTACAGTGTCCTAAAATATACAATTTGACAGGACATGGGGTGAATAGAGAAGATATAAGCTATAACTGTGGACTTTTACAAAACTCCTAACCAGAAATTTTATCATCGTGTGTGTGTGTGTGTGTGTGTGTGTGTGTGTGTGTGTGTGTACTAGACTTTTTTCAAGAAACAATCACATGAGTTATAATTGTGGTGAAAGTTTTTAATTTAAAAAACATCCTCATGCTGGCAAGACGGCTCAGTGGGTAGAGCACTTGCCTCGTATGGCGAGACCTTGAATTCAATGCTCAGCAGAATAAAGTGGGGGAAGGAAGGGATTACGAGACTATGTACCCACAAAATATGCAGAGTAAAGGAAAATCATGTAGCACTTACAAATTTATTGATCCCACAGGAGACAACGGGATAGGAAAACTCATAGTTGAAGCTCAGTAGCCTGGTTACAGAGCAGTTGTTCCCTAGGTGTATGTCATCAGCTCTCACTTCTGTGTCATTATCAAATGGCTTCCTTCTCATTCTCACTATCAGCCAATCATCAGAACATACTGAAGTCACTGCTAAAATAACAACGACAATAATAATAATATGCACCTTATTTAGCTTTGATGGGAAACTTATCTTTGCTGTAAAAATGAATAGCACCAATTGCCTTATGAAGAATTTGATGGCCAGAACAGTACTGACACCTTTAGAATTGAGATTTTGTAGTGGGAATGAAACGTATCCAAAAATCATTTGCCTCTTAATTTTATTATCATGACATAATCTTCATGGCCAGGTCCAAGCAGAAATAATAATTCTCCATTTTTTCCTTTTATCCAATCCAAGATTTGTGAACTAGGTAACTCAATGATGGACACATTTACCTTAGAAACTAAACCATTCATGGGCAGGCTAGCTATCATTCTTGGGGAAAAAAAATCATACCACAAGTTTGCTTTCCCCCCCACATGATGGTTAGAGTTCTACTGTTGCTAGATCAACATATCATCTGTTCTTGCTACAAGTACAAGGAGATTCTGGACAGGAAAGGTAATCTCTTCCTTTCCCAAATGAAAATGGGGTGCTCAAAAGGTTAAATAATGCACAAAGCCTGTCAAGTCTGGAGACTGCAGTCTCTCCAGTGAAGGGCCGTATCTTAGAGTGAAAAGGTGAGAACTAGAGCACCATTAAGTAAATCATTTTCTCTTCACACAGGTTATCTATTTCCCTTTAACAATGTTAGTAATTTACTCAAGGCCTTGCTAACCAAAGTCGGGTCTGAGGCTGGAGAACATCAGCACCACCTGGGCATTCCTGCCCTGCTTAATCACTTCACACATTAATAAGGCATTAATAAGACCCTGAGCTCTCTCATACATCGTTTTAGTACATTTAATATAATGGACACCAAGAGCTGCAAGATGACCAAGAACAATAACAGAAGCAAGTGAAAAGTTATGAAGAACGATGGGAGCAATCGTGGCACACAGCCGTTTGTTTAATTTTTATAACAGTCTCTTCTAGAGGAAGGACCAACTGAAGCCTTTGTGTGTACCAGGCATGAAAGATCAGGAAAACCGTGATATTTAACAAAATAAAATAGATCAGTAATACCATTGGTGCAGGGAGTTTTAACCTATTTTTTTTCATGAGTTTTCTAGTGCTAATCTGACTCGAAAATATTTAATGCCAACCCTGCCCTCAGTCACACAACACTGTTTCCGTCTTGTGTAGAAATATTAGACTCACATGACAAAAGGAAAAGTGCCTTCGGGCAGGAGAACCCCAGAACGAGGAACAACCGAGCAGATGTGGGCGTACCCAGCAAGATGAGGACAACAGCAGCTCTACCATCCCCCAGACACCGAGAGCAATCATGAAAAAAGGCAATAGTTGGTGCCTCTGGTTTGTTACAGACAACCTGCCATGGCTGGTTACTCACTGAGAGGTCCATGAAGAGAAAATGACTGCCTTCAGATATCAGAAACCATGACAGAGTGGAAAATGCCTGTGGTTTTAGCTAGTTTCTAACAAGAGTTTTGAAAGGAAAGGGAGATTTCAAAAACATGTGCTTTTAAAGCACTTCAAAGCAGAAGCAAAACCCTCTAGGGCAGTAGTTCAACCTGTGGGTAACAATCTCTTTGGGGACTGAACGGTCCTTTTGCAGGGGTTGCCTAAGACCATATGTATATCAGATATTTACATTACAATTTATAACAGTAGCAAAATTACAGTTATAAAGTAACATGAAAATAAGTTTATGGTTGGGGGGGTCACCACAACATAAGGAACTGTATTAAAGGGTCACAGCATTAGGAAGGTTGAGAACCACACTGCTCTAGGGCCTACCTGGCTGCTTGCTCAGCTGTGGATGCTTGGGAGTGGCCTTGTTGGCTGTACATGGTAGAACGGTTGGTAATATCCCTGAGCAGCCACAGATGTGCCAGTCACAACCCAATTGAAACAGGCAAAACTGCCAAGCTGCCCTGGACAGCAAAACCTCCCCATCTGAGAGCCAGAGTGCCAAGTGAAGGGGGGTGCCCCTACAGATGTGGGGGTGGGTACCCCTCCAAATGCAAGAAAAGCCCACAGGCAATCACCTCATGGCAGCATGAGAAACAGCTAATGGGCTGCCACGTTCACGCAAGCCGGAGACATTCTCTCATCTCCTGCACATAATACCAAGACAGATTTGGGTGTTTTCAGGTCATTGGCTCTCTTGGCTTCTTTTATTACACTTTTTTAATTTATGGGGGAAGGGCACTCACGTGTCACCTTTTACATGTGGAGTTCAGAGGACAGCCTGCAAGCGTCAGTTCTCTCCTTCCTCCATGTAGGTTCCCCGGAGACAGAACTCGGGCTGTCAGGGTTAGCAGGAAGTGCTCTCACCCATGGAGCCATCTTTTTTTATTATTTATTATTATTATTATTATTTATTTTACAATACTATTCAGTTCTACATAATAGCCACAGATTCCCTTGTTCTCTCCCTTCCTGCCCCCCTCCTCTTCCCCCCAGCCCATCCCCCATTCCCACCTCCTCCAGATCAAGGTCTCCCCCGAGGACTGGGATCGACCTGATAGACTCAGTCCAGGCAGGTCCAGTCCCCTCCTCCCAGATACCAGCCCAACTATCGTCTTATTTTAGGGTAGAATATACCCCAAGTCATTTTCACTCGTGAACAAAATTAGACACATGGACTTCAAGTAACTAGCTTAAGTTCACCCAGTTAAGTACCAGAGTTGGGGTTTACCTATTTCTGGCATCTCAGTGTATAAAAAAAGCAACTATATCCCACCTGCAATTTTCATTCTGTGGAGCACCCTCCTTTCCCAGGTTCATACATACAGGCACATCCCTGTGGCTGATGAAGCCTTTTTTGACTTTCTCAAATTATATGAATCCAAGTTACAAAAGAAACATAGGACTGGTTGTTGAAAAGGAAAGGAAGAGGCAGGAGGATTGTTGAGTGTTTCAGGCCAGCACCTGGGCTAGTGAATGCCAGGCCACTACACGCTGCATTCACAACAGCCTGTCTCAAAAAATAATAGTAATAATAATATTAATTAATTAATTAATTAATTAATTAATTAAGGGAGGTGGAGGCAGAAGATTCAGCAGAAGCTCAGCAGCAAGACTAACCAGAGTCCTTGCCTCCAAAGCAGAGGAGCACGGACTACTGGAAAACTGCCCTCTGGCCTCTATGGACCTGCACACACAAAATAACCTTTTAAAAAATGAACCTTTCAAGAAGTCAAACTTTCACTATTTGCAGATGATATGATAGTATACATAAGTGACCCCAAAAACTCTACCAGGGAACTTCTACAGCTGATAAACTCCTTCAGTAAAGTGGCAGGATACAAGATCAACTCAAAAAAATCAGTAGCCCTCCTATACACAAATGATAAAAGGGCTGAGAAAGAAGTCAGAGAAAC